ACTTGGTGAAGATTTTACAGGGCTTCAGCTAGTTTTCACGTTGTTTCTGTGTTGTATTACTACTAGGTGGGATGTGATTCGTTGGTAGAAATATAGCTGTGTACAGAAATAGTTTGCTTTAGTATTGTCATAGAGCATTAAGAACTTTATTTTTTTGGTTAATTTGATAATTTTTTTCAATAAAATCCTTTAGTTACATCTTGAATGCCATGTTTAAACAGAGATCTGTTCTTTAAATTTCATGTCATTGAAAGGATGTTCATGTATTTGTTAAAAAAATGTCCATATATATATATATATATATATATATTCCACAATTTCATTTTTTAAGAACTAAAATAATGATATTAAGATGTTATATTATTAGTCCATTAGTTATTTAAGCAAATTTAAAAGTTTCAACAAATTTAACGTATGAAGTCTAAGCAAGGACTCTAATGCTGCTCAAAGTCAAAGAAAAAAAATCTCCAACTGATCAGCAACATTTAATTTCACTGGTTCAATACCAAAATTCTTGCCTTTATATGAAGCTGATATTGTATTAAAAATTTCTCTTGATGGTTGCAAAATACTATTTTGAAAAAAAAAATTAATTGTATTTTTTCATGAACTGAGTGACCTATCAAGGTTGCAGATTTGATTTGATTAGAGTAGGATATTACAAAAATTTTCAAATTTAAATTTGATCGGAAAAGTTATTTTTATTTCATTTTAAATTTAAAATATATTTTACTTAAAAAATATATAAAATTTTTAATATTTTAAAATAAACTGGTCTAATTTAACAAGTTAAGTTTGGGTTCAAACTTGATGTTTAAAGATACCAACTAAGCATAATCCTAAAAATAAACACCGTTACTATATGCTTGTTAGTAAAATTTTTTGTTTATATATATGTACATAGTGTGATTAAACTATTTAGATTCAATAAATATTCAACTACACTCAATTAAATTATTGTGCATAAATATCATTTATTATATCATATTGAACTACAACCTTTTGTCATAAAGTTTGCATTGAATAGAAGTAACTAGCTGGAAGTTGGTATATCATGTTATCTCTATTTTCATAGAGTTTGTATGAATCTACTATCTAGAAATTTATATATAATGTTCTCAATTGCTCTTTTCTTTTATAAAGAAGGAAAGAGACTAATTTTATATTGTACTTGAGAGAATATTTCTTTTATAGAGAAGGAAACATATTAACTGAGATATTTGAGAAAACCATGTTTACTGCAATGATATGTCAGTCAAGGTTTTTAAAGTTTATATTTACTCATATAGTACCATGATATATATAAAACAAAAGCAGCACCAAAATTTTTTCACCCATTTCAGTATAAAATCGTCTAATAGATATACGTTTGCTTATAGTTCTTTTTTTCTCCATTTTCAAAACCTGAAACTTTTATATCCGAAAGAAACATGTTTTAGTGATAAAAGTCATAGTCACCCCACTCTTTTCAATATCCTTTCTTCTACTTTGCTCCCTAGGTATAGAATATATATGCAAAGTTATCTTACAACTTCAACAGTTGGTGTTCCATAGTATTCAAGAACTTATCGGTTAAGAATGTTATACAAAAATGAAGAAATAGAAAGATTTACAAGAGTAATTCCTTCTCTAGGTTACATTTTTATATTGAATGAACTATGTTAAATATGGTATTATGATATGTAGTTTTCTTATTTGGTTTCTTCTTATTATTATGGTGTGTTACCCAAGTATTTCACTAGCACTTACAATTTTTGTTCAAGTTTGTGGAATCGACTTGAATAATACTTTTTTTTCCAAATATTTTATCCTTAAAGTCTCCAATGATACCATCCAAATCAAAACTTTTTACCATTTTCATCAGTAGATTTTCTTTCTTACAAAAAAAATCCATAGAAGAATCATGTTCCTTTGCTTTTAGTATCCTCTTGCTTGCATAATCATACTACATCTTAGTGTTCTGAATTTGTACTACTTTATCATCACTGGCATATTTTGAGATTGGAAGTTTATAATCTCCTCTTGACAGTAAAGGCTAGATTTGGAAGTTTTTCCCATCTCAGCTTGTGTTAATCCAAGGAGTACACAACAATTGGCTATATTATGCAGCCCTTTCTGAAATTTCTGAAATCTACCTCTAGATTTAAAGAGCAAAAGGACATCGAATTGGACAGAGAGATGTAATCACATTTACCATTCAGATTAACTAATAACAAGATATTTGATCGTGCTTCATCAATCATCTCTTTCGAATTATAGTGTGATTCTCTGGCAAGTTTGTATTTGTGAACTATGATCCATTGTTTTCTTTAATTCTTTATTTTTCTGGTTCGGATTCACTGACAAAATATTTGTTATCTTCCGCATCATATTATTTCTGAACTGTAATGGTTACAACTGATTGTTAGCCATATGTGTTCCCAAGTCTTCATTACATGCACTACTCTGACAAGATGCACACATGTTACATAATGTCATTGCTGTGAAAAAAAAATTAACTTGGCAACTCCAAAAAATGGAAGAGCGGTGAATTGTAAAGTTAGGGAAAAAGAATGCTGGGAAGAAGAGTAGCGCAACCGAGAAAAAAAAAAGTGTAGATAGTAAAAAAGAAAAGGAATAATGATAATGAAAAAAAGAGGATAGTGAAACTGAATATAATAATAATGTAAATGAATAATTAAGTAATAATAGTGTTGTGAAGTTAACAAATAAGCTAGATGGCTTTGTGGATAATCATTTCCTACAGCAAATTTCAATCACATCAAAAACTAGGCATTTAGTTTATAACTGAAAAATGAACAGAAAAAATGAACCATTTGAAATCCAAAAATGAACAGAAAAATGAACAATTTGAGGAGACTGCAAAGGAATCATTAATAACACTCTCCATCCACCATTATAAACATCTAATATAATCAGCAATTAATTGCTCTGTTTTCCCTGCTTGAACTGCCACCACCCTTACTATTTCTCTATGTACAGGTGGGCTTTAAGGTTGAGCTCCAGGTTGTCGCCTACATTGATAGATGATCAAAGGACTCTAATATCAAAATAATAGAAAGCCACTACAGAACTAATATCTTTTTCAGCATGAAAATTACAAACTGCATCCACCTTTGAATTCAGCAAATAGTTAGGATTTGGGGTTAGTTGAAGTATTCACTTCTGGATTTATTCAAAGAATAAGTGGGATTTTTTGTGTCAGAACTCCAATTCAAGAAATATTTTTCGTTTATAATATGGTAATTGATCTCTATTCTTCTTGTCTCAACTTGTAAAGTTTCAATCATGCATGTGAATCTTTCTGTGCATTGAAATCTTCTTTGTCTTCGGCTACATACAAGTCCAAATTGGCTTCCATCAAGAAAAAGAAAAACCATAAGAAACCCTCTAACGGCAGCCACTTCTCACATCATCCCTTGTTTTTTCCTTCGTTTTCTCTGCTTAAAACCTCCAAAACCTGAAGCAGTGAGCTCCATCTTTTAAAGATGGTTGCTTTTTTTTTTTTTTTTTGTGAATTAGTAGTGTCTAAATTTTATGTCCGTGAACTTATAGTTAGACATCAATTTAAAGAATCATCACTTTTATTTTTTAGATGAGATTGATCACCTAATGAATTTGTTTTATTTAAAAAAAAATCTCAAGTTTGATCAAATATATTTAAAAAGTAGATTCAATGTTTACAAAACTAAAATTAAGATAAAAAATATAGTTACATGTGAAAAAGTTATAACATTTTCACAATGTCTATCAAAAAATGATATCAACTAAATTTCATGTTATTTAATAAATCTTAAAAAAACTTATCAAATAGTTCATTATTGAAAAGTATTCGACTCTAATACTTTTAATAGAAAATTTTAAAAAAATTTTCATCTAAAAAATATGTAAGAAAACTATTATTTTTTTTATAGATGCTTCATCATCGGATTATTTAAAAAAAAAATTAAATTCCAAGATCAACTTTTGCTAAGAATTCCCTTATTTTATTTTAGAAGAAATAGTATTTTTATTTGAGAAAAATTAATACGCACAACTTTTTCCTTAACTATTTTTGAAATATTTTTATTTTAAGAAAATTAATACTTTAATTTTTTCTGAAAAATATTTTTTGAAATATATTTTATTTAAAAAATTAATATTTTAATTTTTATATAAAAAAATTACTATTTCTCTTGCAGAGACACCATCGATGAATTATTTAAAAAAAAATTAAATTTCAAGATCAACTTTTCCTGAGAATTCTTTATTTTATTTTATTTTAGAAGAAATAGTAATTTACTTTAAAAAAAATTAACACTTATAACTTTTTCCTTAACTATTTTTGAAATATTTTTATTTTAAAAAAATTGATACTTCACTTTTTCTAAAAACTCTTTTTTAAAATATATTTTATTTAAGAAAAATTTATATTTCAATTTTTTCAAACATTATTGGAAATATTATTTTTTTTATTTAAAAAATTGATATTTCAACTCTTTTTCAAAAAAATATTTTTTAAAATTTTTTATTTTTAAGAAAAATTGATGCTCAAAAAATTTTTTTGAAATTTTATTTTGAAGAAAAATGATACTTAAACTTTTCCTAAAAGATATTTTTTTAATTTTTTTATTTAAGGGAAATTTATATTTCAAATTTTCCTTACAATATTTTTTTTGAAATATATTTTTCATCATTTTTTATTTTTTTAAAAAAATTGATATTTTTAATTTTTCCTCAAAAAATATTTTTTAAAAATTTCATTTTTAAAAAAAATTAATATTTCAAATTTTCCTAAAAAAATAATTTTTGAGATTTTTAATTTTAAGAAAAATTAATACTTCAACTTTCCTTATGAAACATTTTTTGAAAAAATTGAATATTTTACTTTTGAAAAATATATATTTTTTGAATTATTATTATTTTTTAAAAAATTTAAAAAATATTGATTCAAAAATCAAATAAGTGAATAATATTGATTCCGCAAATGAATAAAGTAAATAAGGAATAAGCAAAAAAATAAATAAATAAATAAATAGCCTTGGCTCGGCTGTAGACTCAAAGAACCAACTGGAGGTATGCAGCTCGAATTCGACTTAGCGGCTCAATCAGCTCTGCACTGGAGTGGGTCGTCGGGTCAAGCGAAATAGATCGAGCTTGCGAAATGAAAAACACGTGGGTCCTGGTCTATTTTAAACCTGAAACGGCGTCGTTTTCATGCAATATAAAATCCCAATTTTCAGTTTTGTCCTCGGACTTCACCTGCTTTCTCTCTCTTCTCTTTTCCTTTCCTCTGTCTCTCTCTAGGACATGAAGAATATGGGCTGAGCTTCCATCAGTTTCTAAAATTTCACCATCGGAAACTAGGTAATTTGCCAAAAAGCCGTCAGTTTCTTGAAAAGACCACCGGAGTCTGGTAATGATGCCAGAAACTAGGTTTATCGCCGGAAAGTTTGAATTTTCGCTGAAAAATTCAACTAGATTCTGGAATTCTAGGAAATTCCAAAAAAAAAATCTCGCAAAAATTCTCAAATCAACTTTTTGCCTTCTAAAATCCTTCTAGCAGCACCAAATCCCACTTTCACAATTCCAAAAAAGAAAAAAAAAACTCCATATTATTTTTTCTACCAGAAACTTTTTTTGAGAAATTTTTTTGTTGCTCTCATGCTCTCTCCGTTCTTACTGTCTATTCCTCCGGTTGTGTCATCAGTGGGGTTTATAAAGGGATTGAGTATAAGATCAATCGAGGTTTTAAAAATTAAATTCCCTTTTCAAGAAAACCTTTTCTATTGCTCTGTTTATCCTAGTTTTTTTTTTTATCATAGCTTCAAAATTCAAATCTCCGTTTTATTAGGATTAATCTTCTACCTTTATTTATTTTTTACTTTTTATTTTTCGTTATCTTTATCTGAAACACCACAATAAAAAACAGGTCAGATGAGATGACCCATCCTGATCAAAATCCAATCCAACTTAAAGAAATGAGTTTCTACAATATCTATGCCATTTTTCAACTCTTTTGCAATCTATAGCCTACCACATAATCCAATTGTGGGTCTATCTACTACCATTCCCTTGATTTTTTATTAAAATTAAATTAGCCTGGTGGCTTTCAACTTCATGGACCATGCCTTTGAATTATGGAAACCTTGCATCAGCATAGCCAATGGATAAGATTGTTAAATGGAAGAATTTATTTGACCATTCAGCAACATCAATTTTTTATCCTTGGTTCATGGTTGCACTATCATACCTGAAAAGGTTCATAGAAAATTATATACATCATATAAAATCTACATCCTAAGAAAAAGAATGATGATGAATCAAGGAAATTGAATAAAACCTAAATTAACACAAACTTATTGAACCACCAGCAAATTTGGATTTGATGTTTTCTTTTTATACATATGATTGATTGATGGGATGTTTCATTTGTCTGCAGGGAGGCAGCAAAGCATTGGTCAGTTATTTGCAGCTGAGGAGATCAGTTGTCTATAAACTTTGAAGGTGATCATAATGTACACAAAAAAAAAAAAGAAAAAGCCAAGACTATTATTTACTAACAGATGATAATTGAATTTTAAATTAAAATAACATATATAGTTATAGATTATTTAACAAAAATACCAAATAAAAGGAGAACTTGGTGAAGATTTTACAGGGCTTCAGCTAGTTTTCATGTTGTTTCTGTGTTGTACTACTACTAGGTGGGATGGGATTCTTGGTAGAAATATTGCTTTATACAGAAATAGTTTGTTTTAGTATTGTTATATAGCATTAAGAACTTTATTTTTTTAGTTAATTTGATAATTTTTTTCAATAAAATCCTTTAGTTATATCTTTAATGTCATGTTTAAACAGAAATTTATACTTTAAATTTCATGTCATCGAAAGAATGTTCATGTATTTGATAAAAAAATGTATATATATATATATATATTCCACATTTACATTTTGTAAGAACTAAAATAATGATACTAAGATGTTATATTATTAGTCCATTAGTTATTTAAGCAAACTTAAAAGCTTCAACAAATTTAATATATGAAGTGTAAGGAAGGACTCTAACGCTGCTCAAAGTCAAAGAGAACATCTCCAACTGATTCTCTCTGCAGCAACATTTAAATTCACTGGTTCAATACCAAAAATTCTTAGCCTTTATATGAAGCTGATATTGTGTTAAAATTTTCTCTAGATGATTGCAAAATACTATTTTGAAAAAAAAAATTAACTAGATTTTTTTATGAACCAAGTGATCAATCAAGATTGTAGATTTGATTTGACTCGAATGAAATATTACAAAATTTTTTAAATTCAAACTTGACCGAGCTAATTTTTATTAATTCAAGTTATTTTTATTTAATTTTAAATTTAAAATATATTTTAAGTAAAATATTTATATAAATTTTTTAATATCTAAAAATAAATGAGTTAAATTTAACAAGTTAAGTTTAAGCTCGAACTTAATTTTAAAAATACCTACTAAGCATGGTCTCAAAAATAAACACCTTTGCTATATTCTTGTTAGTAAATTTTTTTGTTTATATATTTACATGATGTGAGTAAACTATTTAGATTCAATACATATTGAACTACATTCAATTGCACTATTGTGCAAAAATATCATGTATTATATCATATTGAACTACAACCTTTTGGCATAGAGTTTGCATTGAATATAAGTTAACTAGCTAGAAGTAGGTATATCATGTTATCTTTATTTTCAAACAGTTTGCATGAATCTATTAACTAGAAATTAATATATATCATATTCTCAATTGCTCTTTTCTTTTATAGAGAAGGAAACAGACTAATTTATTATTATACTTGAGATACTATTTCTTTTATAAAGAAGGGAACATATGAACTGAGATATTTGAGAAAACCATGTTTACCACAATGATATACCATCAAGGTTTTCCAAATTTATATTTACTCATATATTATCATGATATATATAAACAAAAGCAGTATCGAAATTCTTTCATCTATTTCAACATAAAATCGTTTTTTTTATCGTCTAATAGATATTTATCTGTTTGTAATTTCTTTTTTCTTCATTTTCAAAATAAATATTATTTTCTTAATTTTTTTTCTCCTCCTTAACATTATTTCTTTTAAATTTTTATCATTTTTCTTGCCATTTTAATTTTTATATTCAAGTTTTTTTTTTCTCATCTGGTTCATTGTTGCTTCTTATGTTGCTCAGTATTCGTTTTATTTAACAGTATTAATTATTCATATTATACAAACTTACATATTGATTGTGGTTGTAGTCATAATGGGCAAACATTATAATTTGGATTTCTCATACAAAGAACTGGAAAAGTTTTGAAGTATGTGGTAACAGTTTAGCATGTACAATTAAATAAAAAAAAGAGTGAAAACATGATGATTCTATATCATGCAGTATGTCAAATTATTAGTTAATAAATTTAGTTAAATCAACAAATCTTTTATATAATCACATTTTTTAAAAAATAAAAATTTAATAGCAAGTTTTGATATTGAAAGACTGAAATGAACTTGAATGAAATTTAGGAAATTGCAAAAAAAATTACTCTTTTTTTTTTTTTAATTTTCCCAAATTTGTATAAAAATTAGTGATTTTGCTTCTCTGTATGTGTTCCTAAGAAAAGGAATTTGTCAAAATTCGGGGTCTTAAAGGGTCGTGGAAACACATAAGAACTCTTGAATGGAACTGGAAAAGAGATGTAATTCCAGTTCCTTCGGAAATGGTAAGATCTTTGTCGCAAGAAGAAGGGGCGGATCCGTATCATCTTGACTTGGTTCTGATTTCTCTATTTTTTTAAGAATACCGCTTCTCCTACCCGTATCGAATAGAACATGCTGAGGCAAACCTTCTTCATGTAAAACCTGCTTGATTTAGATCGGGAGAATCGTACGGTTTTATGAAACCATGTGTATATGGCTCGAATCCGTAGTCAATCCTATTTCCGATAGGAGCAGTTGACAATTGAATCCAACTTTTTCCATTATTTTCGTATCCGTAATAGTGCGAAAGGAAAGCCTGGCTCCAAGTTGTTCAAGAATAGTGGCGTTGTTGAGTTTCTCGATCCTTTGCCTTAGGATTAGTCAGTTCTATTTCTTGATGGGGGGGATATAACTCAGCGGTAGAGTGTCACCTTGACGTGGTGGAAGTCATCAGTTCGAGCCTGATTATCCCTAAACCCAATGTGAGTTTTTCTATTTTGTCTTGCTCCCCCGCCGTGATCGAATACTATAGGCTTAGTTTTGGTGTGAGGGAGTAGGGATGTCCATATTTCTGGGAGCGAACTCCAGGCGAATATGAAGCGCGTGGATACAAGTTATGCCTTGGAATGAAAGACTATGCTACAGTTTAAGGAGATGTATCTAAACTTCTTCATACAGTTGCTGAATAAGAATTTATACTATACGTACTTATTAAACTAACATTATCTTCAACTTTATGAAGAAACAATGAACTTTTAGAGTGTGGGCAAATTTAATTGACGAACAAGTCATCAAAACTGACAAAAGCCACACGCATCCCACATTTTTAAATCCACACTTTTCAATTCCATTCCTTTTACTTTACTTCTAGGTATAGAATGTACATGCAAGTTATCACTTTTTTTCCCTTAAAAAAAAATATAGGAATAAAAAAGAAAGGAATGTTAATGAAAAAAATAGGATAATGAAGCTCATGATAATAATAATGTAAATGAGTCATTAAGCAATAATAGTGCTACGAAATCAGATAACCAGCAACTGCTAAAACGTATTTAAGTATATCAGCAAGACAGAAGTAACAAATGAACTAGATGTTTTGTGGACAATCATTTCATACATCAAATTTCAATCACACTGGAAACTAGGCATTTGGTTTATAACTGAAAAATGAACAATTTGAGGAGACTGCAAGGGGAATCATTAAATACAGTCCCCATCCACCATTATAATCTAATATAAGCAGCAATCAATAAGGTCGATACCTCCGGCTATCATTGCTGTGTTTTCCCCTGCTTGAACTGACACCACCACTCTTGCCACCACCCCTACTATTTCTCTGATTTACAGGTGGGCTTTGGGGTTGAGCTCCCGGTTGTTGGCTGCATTGATAGATGATGAAAGATGATCAAGGGACTATAATATCAAAATAATAGCAAGTCATTACAGAACTATTATCTTTTTCAGCATGAAAATTACAAACTGCATCCACATCTGAGTTCAGATTAGATGACTAATTGCCCCAGGCTCAAGTTATTCAACTGAGCCAATATTCATAGCCCTTCTGCAAGGTAAACCACAAAATCAGGTCAATGGATGACAGAATATCGCTTTTAATTAAGAGCCACATCCTCCTAAATCACTTTAGTTCGGTTAACACATTAACCACATTCTCCAATTGAACTTCAGTTGAATAACTCACCATATCTGATTCATTTAGGTTCTGAGTGGTTCATAGCAATTTTACAAAGAAAAGAAAAGACAATTTAAAGGAAAAGAAGGAGAATAAAGAACAAAGAAGAAATAAGGAAATAAAACTCTTTTCTCTTTTATGATTATGAAAAATTATATTTGACACTCAGATAAGACAAAGAAAACCTTTAATCTTTTACATTGGATTTTTCTTCCTTTTTTTCCATTTTCATTAATGTTTTCTTTTCTTTGACACCCGGCATCAATTAACCAGACCCTTAAATGAAAATTTCAACTAATTAAATCTAGGTATGTTCCTCAAAAATTACAAATCAGTGCCAATTGGCTCTCTGCTTTCAAGATCCAGCTAGCAAGTCCATGCATGGTCATTTTATACGACATTGGCCTAGGAAATTTTTATGCGAATAGCTGATAGTACATACTTCCTAACCCGGATACAAAAAATGGGTTATATCTCAGCTGATAGAGATAAGGGTCAAAAGGAACTGAAAAATCATGCCTTGCCATAGAAAGAAAGAGGATACAGATTTTTAGAAGTTCAAAACATTAGAAAGAAAATATAGCTATTGAACTTACAGAACATATCCAATTCGACCATCAGGTAGAAGCATTGGCATCATTGACATGCCAGTGGGAGTTGGTCCCCTTCCATAGATCAAGGGCTGTATGTGATGTAAATTTTTACATCAGATTAAATCTTGGTAACCCATAAAACAAGTAAATATAAGGATTATAAAGAGATGAAAAGCATTCTATTATTAACATTGTATTGATCATGAATGACACCCCAAAGGTCACAGTACAGTCTTACATCTTCCACTATATTGCTCACTGATCAAAATTAACATGAAAAAAATTTAAAGGCATTCAACATGTGGGAAGTGGAGGTAAAAGGTCAGTGTAACAAACTTTAGCCCTATTTCCTCAAGCACCCACTGCCACCCGAAAAAGTAAGAAAAAGTAATAAGGACTTTTAAACTTAGAAAAGAAAACAGAATAAGGAGGCAGGCATTCAGTGACTAGATGTTAATCCTGTAGAGGAGCATCCAGCCATAAATTATACCAATCAAACTGTCATGCGCATGGGGATACAAAGATAGCCAGGGTATATGCAGAACAAAAAAAGCACCTCATCAATAGAAGAGTTCATAAGAAAAAGGCCTAACACCTCAATGAAAATCAAACATGAAATTTCAAATGCTCCAATTGGAAACAAGATAGAAGTCTCTAAGCAAGATACATGTAATGTCAAATATTCCTTGTTTTGAAAAATGTCCTTTTTTCTTTGAAAGAAAAAAAAACTCATATCTGAAAGCCAAACCAAGTTAAAACAAGATCAAGAATTCAAAAGCATAGAGCTTTATACTATAAATGCCAAATATAGGAACACATCCACTATATCTTCCAAAAGACCTGCTTCAGTGCAACCATAACTTAATAATGATTCTTCTAAACTAACTGGGTAAAGATCTGGCTCAGACAGAAATATAGTAACAGACACACATGAACGACGGCACAAGTTTGAATATTTAACAGAGATATCACCTACATTCCAAATTGGTCAAATTCAGAGGTAGTATGAAAACGAAAATGCAAACAAACTAATGATCACCTGCTTAGTATTGAGAAAAAATAAAGAAGATATAGATGCAGTCAAACATGCGCCTGTAATGCACAGAAAAAAATATCTCACCTGCGTAAGACCAGCAACACCATATCCTGGACCTAGAGCACCATATGCACCCCCAACCAGACCATAGCCAATGTGAGGTTGATAATTAGGAAGAAAACCTGAATTCTGAGAACTTGACACCCCAGGAGCCTTCTGATCTGCTTGTGGTTTTGCAAGAGAACATTCTACAACTTGGCCTGAAAAACAGAAATTAACATTCAGAATTATATTTAGTAAACACATAATGTAAAAAGGATAAGAACTCAATAATCACCGCCCAGTTCATATTTTTCTGTGTTCTTTAGCGCTTTCATGGCACAAGATCTCTCTGCAAAGTGAACAAAACCAATTCTATTTCTCTCTTGTCCAGGTTTTGCTGGAGGAAGAACAACTTTTGTGATCTTTCCATGATGTTCAAATAGCTTCTTTAACTGATCTTGAGTCACATCCTTTGGCAAATTCTTTACATAAACTGCCTTTACCTGCTTAAGGCAGGTTAACTCAGTTTAACAAATCCAAAATAGGATTATGAAGACAACACCAAATAAATTGCAATCAAGGTGATAACCACCAGAAAAGAAAATGTATTCACGAAGTTGAGGAAATACTTGGCATATGAAAAGAAAAGTTCATGTAACAAATCCATGAAAACAGAGATAAAAGCTCATGCAATTATATTTATCTCATGCAATAGAACAGTTTAAGAAATTAACAACTGTCAAAGCTACCAAAAGATAAGGGACAGGATAGCCCAGTGCAAGAGAATCCTGCATTGTGGGGGTTTGAAGAGGGCCAGATATACACAACCTTACACTCACTGGCAGATAGCCTGTTTCTGTTACTTGAACCTATGACCTCCAGGTAAAAATGCTGTGACCTAACTGTTGTGCCAATGCTCACCCTCCAGCAAGAGATATGAGATAAACAACTATTTAGCCAATCAGCCCATGTTTCCCCGTAACAGACACTCAGTTTTTCTCCTTACAGAGAAAAAAAAAAAAAAAAAACCAAAGGCCCTCAATTTGTGAGAACCAATAGATAAGAACATAAGAGATAGATAAGGTGATTGCTTCATATGTGATGTTTCCATGTTATCAATGCACATGGTACACAGAAGAATGCATGCATGTCAGCTTCAAATAAAAAGTGGGACATGAAGCAACAACAAACTCATCCATTAAGACAAGCATGAACACATAAACTGCGAAAAGAAGCCAGAAGCAAGCCAGAAAGGGAAACACAGCCACTTACTAATACCTGAGAAGAAGCAGAAGAAGCAGAAGAAGCAGAAGAATCAGCATTTTTAGGATCAGCCCAGCTCACAGTTGGAGCATTATCACCCAGCCTGAATTCTGGGTTCATCATCTTCTGCCTTGAATACTCAGCACATGCATTGTTATAGTACTCAATAAAGGCAAAGCCCCTGTTATTACTTGAGTTCTTCATATCCTGCAAGCACAAAGTGAAAACACAAGACTATATTACCACTAAACAGCCCTTTAGAGGTCAACAGTAACCAATAGAAATGCACAAGTTCATTAAACTAACCTTAACCAATTCCAAACCAGTAACTCCAGGCCCAACCTCTGACACAACCTTCTTCAAGTCTTCCTCTCCCCAGCTTCTAGGAATATTACCAATAAACAATCGATGCTTTGATTGGGATGTAGAACATTTAATTTTTTTACCCTGAGAGAGAGAGAGAGAGAGAGAGGCCATAAAGTTATTCATCAACCAAAGACATAATTGAAAATATCAATCGTAAGAACATTGTTGTCAGATCCAAAGAAAAAATGGATATGGGTATTCCCTATGAGATTGATACTCATCTCTAAATTTGGAGTTATAAACATCACAGCTAATAATATGTAAGTTGCCTTTCAGGTTAGAGTGCCATGCAACAGTTTTAGTTTGGATAATATTAACATATACATGATGCATAAGAAGACTCGTCACCTTAAATTCAGCATTATTTAGCTCATCAATGGCTTTAGAGGCCAATTCTACGCTTCTAAAGGTCACAAATGCAAAGCCCTTGTTTTCACTTGAATCTTTACCTTTCATAATCCGAACCTACCATCACAAAGTATGATGTGTCAGTCTTTATCTCAAAAGACAAATAGTTCCTCACGAATAGCAAAAGAGAGTACCTCAGTAACTTCTCCAACAGATTCACAAAAGCCTTTCAAATCCTCCTGAGAAGCATCATGTGGAATGCCTCCTATATATACTTCAGAACCATGAGGAGGACGAGAGAGAAGCTCAGCATGTTTCCTCTTTTCATCCTCATCAGAATCTGCCCCATTGTCATTTTCACCATCCTGATCCTCTTCGTCAACCTCTTCTTCCACCTCCTCCTCTATTTCTTCCTCTTCTTCTTCCACCTCTACTTCTTCATACTCCACCTCTTCTTCCATGGTCTCCTCGGGATCGTTGTCTTCATCAAGATCAACCCTCTCATCAGACTCAACAGGCTGTTCAGGCTCACTTGGTCCTTCAGATTCCACTGACTCAGCAGCAGTACTTGCCTTTGGCCTTGGCATCTTATGTATCTATTTAAACAAGCTTGCAAGGCAATTCTGAAGAAGGCACAGAGGCCAGAAGAATTCAAGGGAAGAAGTACATACATATTGAAAGGAGGAAAAAAATGATGGCCACAAGGAGTTTCAGATAACGTATCTCAAATGAACCCGTTTCATGAGATAAGATTAAAAGGGGTTTGCAAGGTTAAAGACTTTCACCAAAGGCATAATTAAGCAGTAGATTTTAAAGAGAAAGGCAAAAGAAATTTCTGAATGATAATTAAGAGGCTTATGAAGTGGTGCAAATTATCAAGGAATGAACTTGCTCAAATCAGAACAAGAGTCACAAGACTGCTGTGCAAAAAAAAAAAAAATATTGACATGTTTAAGCTTAAGCCAGCTTCATTCAAAATGTAATGCAAAGTGACAGAGCAAAATTACAACATATAAGCAGGCATGGCTCATTCAGATATACAAAAATAAAAAGAAATGAAATTACCATGGAAAGGAAAATCAAGAAACATTAGCTAATGACAAACTAAATACACAGTTCCTCCACCTTGATTATAACAAATAAGGACTAAGATTCTTACAGACATCATAGTTTATTGAAAAGAAAATAATTGATTCTACCATCAACATACACAAATTTTGTGATAGTCCACACTTAGTATATAGAATGTAATTCTACCTTCATACAATTAAATAGAACTAGTATTAAAAGTTGCATTAAACAATTTTAAGGCTTCTGACACCCATTAACAAATCATCTTAACATGAACACAAGACAACCAGACAACCATCATTCCATATTTCCATGTTTTGACCCACAAAATTAAACCTATTCATAACTCAACACGCAATTGAGAATGCACCCATCCAAAAAAAACCCAAGAAACAACAGTTTTTCTCTCTTTTCTTCCTCAGTATTACCAGGAAAAATAAATAAATAAATAAGAGACAGACTATTCTGAAGACAATAGAAGGAAGAGGACAAAATTTAAAAAAAAATGAAATCTAAGAATAAGTTTCCCAAGAACCTAGGCCTACACACTTGTTTTTCAACAAATCTCTATAGCAAAGAATGTAAATGAATACACAGCCTCAACTAGAAATTTTTTTTTGCAATTCTAAAATAACCAGTTCGATTTTTCCACATAATATGCAGAATTCCATCAGTTCGAGAGAATTTTTGACCAACCAAGCCATTAAATTAATTGATTACAGAGCACTTCACCCCACTAAAAGTTCAAATTTAAAGTTCAAAATTTTGAAAACCCTACTGAAATTCAACAAATACCCAAAACAAAAGTATATTTTTTTTATCGAGAAACAAGCAAAAATTGGAACTTTTCAATAATAGGTTTTGAGAGAGGGAAAAAAAATACCAGAGTTGTAGCTGGAGGGAAAAGAACCTAAGAAACTTTGAAAGCTGAGGGAGAAAAAGCCTTAGCTTTACAGTGTCAAGTTTGGAAGTAATTGGAGAAAGGAAAGGCCTTTTTTTTTCCGTTTTTATGGGTTGAAGGAGAGGAAAAATAAATAGGTGAGTGCCCTAAAACTAGAAGGGACTTTATGGGAGACAACTTTTCTGCAGACTGGCTGTACGACCTTCTAGCTATCCCTTTTCATTAGGGATTTGTTTTTTTTTTTTTTGGCGAACCATCAAAGCATCAAATGAATGCGCATCTTATTGTTAAGGGTAAATTTATTCAAACACCAACACTGGATATTTTCATTTAAGGTGCCCAACTTTCTTGCCTTTTGGTATACAACTATACTATACTAGTAGTAATTTATGCTTTTTTTTTTGTTTGAATTTGTTAATTGTAGATTTCATTGTTAAATATATGAGATCAGTGGAAATTTTAATCATTGTGTTGGTTATTTAACCTACTTGATCCAAAAATTAAAATAATAAACTTGTAACCAAAGTTCAACTTTTTAGGTAAAAAAGGAATAACCTTAACATATTTGAGCTCATATCAAATGGAAATTGACTCGACTTAAGATTATATCAAAGGTAATTCTCCACGAACGATCTATTTACATTTTTTGTTAAAAACCCACGAAACATGATACATGTATGATATCATAGATAAGGCTGATTTTTTTTTTTTTTTCTGCAGATTCTCTTCCACATGCGAGTCTTTATACAAGTTACAACACTTTTAACATGACAAAAGAGCAAAGAATGAAACAACTAAAATTCTGAAACGTTATATAAATATAATGTCTAAGTACTTCTGGACCGGGAAACATGACAAACACATATGCTATCCTGTTACGTAGTACACATTGCTTCTGTTATATCATCTGCTGATGAAGATCAGCAGCCTGTTGAGCCAGATCCACCACCATAGCCTCATCAAAGAATTTGTTAATGCTCACATCTTCACTCATTCCCTAGAAAGTTCAACAGAAAATTCACACTCATCAATTGTTCTTGGATTTTTCTTTAAAGGCTCTTAGTCCATTTTAGAAAAGGAATGCCTGTATGTATATGTGTGTGTGTGTGTGTGCATGTGTGAATATGTGTGCATATGTGGTTAGAAGAAGCAATACCTTTCTACGCCTTGTCTTAACCATGAACTCCTGAGCAAGGTGCTGTATTGGTGCAGGTTCGAGAGGCTGCAAAACTATGCTCTTGTCCAAGGGATCTCCAGGAACTAAAACCCAGTGGTCAAATACTGAGAGACAAAAGGCTTGCTCTTGCATGTGGTACCTTAGATCTGTCTCGAATCCAAATGACTCTACCACAGGTAAAAATGCCTAAACGAAAAAAGGAATCACATAAATTGTAAGCATATAGATGGGGTAATTAGTAAGCTATTTAGGCAATCGCATGAATGATGTTACAACTGTCACTCCTCACATTACTAAATAAAACCACAAGTCATGCAAATATTTCAATAGGAATTCAAGCTTAGCTTTCAAACCTTCACAATATAGGCTGGGTTTCTTGTCTGTGGCACATCAGCTGTAACATGGCCAAGCCTACGAGACAACACCGTGTACATAGCAGAGACACTGTCAATTGGTGTTTGTATCTGAAACACAATCACGATTTTAATCACACATCATAAGCAGAATAAACAAGTTTGTCATTTGACGCAGTGGCATGAGATTGAAAAGATACCAAAAAGACAAATTTTCTTTAACTTTCCGCTTTATTGGCCAAAATAGGCTTGCTTTCAGTTGGGATTGGAACCTCCACCTATCCTTTCCCTCATCTTAGCAAGAAGAGGATGCCATTGCCTATGAGCCATAGCAACCAGAAAACTTAAAATTTGAGTTGGAAGGCTGTGGGGATGATCTGTCCAAAACCCCATGGTGGAAGGCTGGAGTTGGGGATTGATCCCTGGTTCAGTAGGATAACATCCCCCCCTCTTAAAAGGGGAATTGTGCCAGGAACATACCTCCACATAATATACAGGTTCCATAAGTCGTGGGGTCGCCACATGGAAAGTGAATGGCTGTCTTACCATTGTTATTTTATTCTTCTTGTTGGGTGTTTCAACAGAGTATTTCATGGATGAAGACTCCACCGCTGTTTCACAGAATGAAACAACAGGATCTGCCACCTATATTTAGGAGAAGCATAAGATGAGAAATGAGTTTAAGAAAGAAATAAAATAAAAATAGGACTATGTATGAGAAACTAGATACCTTAACTTCCACCTCGGAATAGAACTCCCTAAGGTCCTTCATAATTGAGTCCAAGTACAACTCTCCAGTACCTAATATAGTGTGCTCACCTGTTTCCTTAAATTTAGTAATAGCTAGAGGATAGCTTTTGCTGATCTTCCAAGCCCCCCTCCACCATATTGGGCAACTCACTGGGATTTAAAGGTTCAGTAGCTGTTTTTACAACAGGAAGAGTTTTAAGGCTGGAATATATATACATCTTCATCAAGATCCATATTACAGAGGGTGGCAGTTTTCATAATTGAAGCATTAACACCTTCCATGAGAACCCAAGAACCAGGAGGAGCATTGTTTACAGGTATCTTATATCAAGCTTGGTAGATCCATAATTTGGTTACTTCTTTTACTGTCAGGTCCTCCTCATAATCTGGTGAATAGCCTTCTCCCAGTATTCTTAAAGTCTGCCCTGTTTGAATTCTACCACTCCTACCAAAAGCATAAAAAACGCTACAATCGGACTTGGGATATAGTTTGGTCACATTAACCATAAGGAGCCAGAAGAATCACAATCTATCATGGCCTTGTAAATCATAGAATGTTTAGGTTCTATGTATGTATGATCAACCTTCTTAGCTGCAGCATCCTTGGGAGATGGTATGTGCTGAACCAGCATCAGTGAAGCCTGAGGCAGAACCAAAAATTGTGCTGCAAACCAGCCTTAGCAAAGGCCTAACATTTAACTTGTAAGCAGCATCGCTAAGAGTAACACACAACTCTGCAAGAGTTGACTCTACACTCTTCCTACGTTCACCAATCACCTGGCTATATATCTTATAAAGGGGTTCAAGCACAAATTCGACAAATGATTGTTCTCCTTCACCAGCAGGGAGTTTCCTTTTAAAAGCCCATGTATCAGGATGATAGTAAATATCTCCCCAAAGATGAGATGCAAACTTCTCAGCGTCAAATGGAATTCCATGGAGTTTGACATATAATTTTGCAAACGACTGCAAAGTGAAGGACCATCCTGCACTTGCACTAGCAAAAACAAACATTTCCAGCAGCAGGATCAATAACTGGAACATTACCAGCAGTTGTAGAGGCCGCAGATATGTGATTATTGATTACTTCCAGAGTATGCCTTAGTTTATGATAAGCATCCTTGGGAGGCAACTTAAGTTCTGTTATCAGCCAGTCAACCTTAAAAAATAAATAAAAAAATAAAAGAAACACATGAGCACACGCAAGATACAGAACATCATTTTCATCAAAAGCTTATAAATAAATAAATAAATATGTATATATATATATACATATATATATAGCATAAGGTGAAAAGTGTTTACCTTGTTCATAACAACTACAATAGGTAGGCGCTCCTGTATTGCATAGCGTATAGCCCTCTCTGTATTTACCTATTCACAACAGTAAAGCATAAGTATCATTCTCAACAGTTCTATATTGTTCATACATTCTATAAACAGCCGCTATATCATGTAGAAACCCAAGTTCAACAATTGGTAAAGCAGTTGATTTGAAAAAGATTTGACAAAACAGAGCATAATTTAACTGCAACAGATCTCAGAATCAAACTACTCATTTTCTTTGGAGTTCAAATTTTAATCTTACGTTCACCTCTAAATATTCTTAAAAACATTTCCTATTTCCAGGTATAAATTAGGCTGCTCTCAAGCATAGGCATAAGAAGAAGGTCAAAATAAATGAATCATTAATGTATAAGCTACTATAATATGTGAGAAAAGATATACTTACCATTAATACTTCTTGTACTCAGCAAGAACAATCTGATTATCCATATCAACGTCATTAGCAGCAGTAATCCATCCATTAGACGCACCAGGTGGAGCCTCACCAGCAGATTCTTCTCCCTCCTCTCGGGCATGCCTGTCAGGGAGGTCTTCATCTTCCTCTTCCTCGTCTTCACTCTCTTGGTCAGACTCAATTTCAGGTCCAATACAGTTTCCAAATTCATCATACAAGTTATCATCCATTGCCTAAATTCCTAGGTCTGCCCAAATTGAAAACCAATGAATTCCAAACAAATTAATGAAATTATTAAACAAAACCCAATTGAATTCTACTCAAATTTGGATACAAATGGACCCAAAAGAACACAACTTAATTACTAACCTAAGCTGTTGGTATGCTTCAACATCAAAATCCATATGAATAACAACAAAAAATATATATCAAATACTTAGATTTTTAAGCTCATTGGCCAAATTCAATAGCAGTAAAGTCCAAATTTGAAGCCTATATTAAGCCTGTCTACATAAAATGTTCACACAGTCCAAACCTAGAAAATTTTCTCCAACTAAAGATCTGGGTTTAATTAAGTAAGTTTCTATTTTTTATACAATAAAAGCAAGAAAGAAACTAAAAATCAAACTTTTTTCAACAGAGGCAAGTCACAAAAGACAAAAACAAAAGATACGTTCAGAAGAAAAGAAAAAAAAGCAAATAATAAAAATTGTGAATCTAAATGAAGAGACAAACATAAACAAAATAAAGTAGGTAAAAGGAAAAGGTACCTTTAAGAACTGAACTGGACAGGAGGATTCAATGTTGGGACAATTTACAGTGAGATCGGCATATTTTGTAGCTAGGAGATTGTTGGGAAAAGTAGGAACTGTAAGAGGAGAGATCTCCACCGTAGAAGATAGTGTGGACAGTATCAAGTTTTTCACATGGAGACTATTGCGGGGTATTCTACCAGTAAGAGAAGTTCTTAGAGATAGAGGGATACTGCTGCATAACAGGTGCTGTGTCTGTGATGAGGCAAATGAAACAATATACCACATTTTCTTTGATTGTGGCTTCAGTCGCTGGGTGTGGGGTGGATTGTGCAACTGGGTGACTACTTCGATGGAGAGTTGGTCCATGTCTGACGAATTTTGGTTACATTTTTTCACCAAAGCACAGCAAGAGAACATATTGGAACCATGCCTTCATGTTCTATGGTTACTCTGGTCAAATCGGAATCGATGTCTTTATGATGCCACGTATGGAACAACTGCATCCATAACTTTTACAGCTGTCCGGGTGGCTGAGGGTATGGGAAATTTGAGGAGTAGTGGCTTGGGAGACCAGATGAGGGGCGCGGATCAATGCTGGATACTTCCAAGCGTTCAGGAGGTTAAAATCT